GCATCGTCTTACACATTTCGTTCACATCACACACAAAAAAGCAACAGATCTGTTTGTTTCCTTACCTTCTCTTCCATGGGACTGTGAGCTTCTTGAGATGTAACCATTTCGTATCCCTAAAGCCAACCAGAGTGCCAGGTGCTGGTAGGTGTTCAGTATCACTAGCTGAGCTGCACTGAGCACAGGCTGGCATCTGGTACTCCCTTGCAAGCAGCAGTAGCCATGGAATCCAGTTCCAAATTTACTGTGCTTAAGTCAGAGACAAACTTGAGATATTCAGATATCGACCAACTTCTTTATCTTCTCCGCAGCCCTCTGCCGTTCCATCACCTGGGCATGAGTCTTTATTGCATCCACCTTTTCTTTTCTGGCATTTGCTAAGAGTCATTTGGACCCAGGTTAAAGTGGGGACCTAGCACTGCCCCCAGATTTGGTGGTCTGGAGGATTTCATTATATAAGCACAAGAAGTGGTGTTAAATCATTGCTGGGGATTTTGGTATACCTGTATTTTACCAGGACAAAGCAAAGGCAAACAGACTTGTTGTTCTAGCGATGAGTTCCACAATTGAAATCTGAAAGCTTTTCTTTTCTTTTTTCTTTTTCGTCTTTGAGATTTCCAAGTTTCTTGCACACAAATTAGGGGGAGTCATGAATGTCCCATGAGACATTCCTTTCCAATTCTGTCCGACCACATCAGAATGGTCTTGTTGGTAAAACACAAGTCTTGACTTAGGCCTGCCTCAGGTTTGCGTCTTGAACTGGGTGCCCATGAGTTGGTACAGTTAGCACACTGTGCTCCTGTCTGTCCCTCCCTCATCCCTAGGGCCCGCGACCAGCGTGAGGTCCGCTCACTGCCTCCCGTGCCAGAGCGGCAACATGGCACGGCCCGGAGTGTCTTTGTGTTTGCTGAGAGCCAGGAGGCCTGTTGTTCGCAGCAGGGACACAGGGCGCTAAAAAGCTGGTTCTGAGAGGACAGGCAGCGGCCCTCCCAGCACAGTCTGCCAGAGAAGCCAGGAACCGGTTTTGATGGGGCATTCATCTCGCACATCTAGAGAAGCAGCAAAAAGGGATGTTTGGTTTCCTTGTGGATTTCTGAACTTCTGTTGCTTTTCAGTTCAAATGTTCAAATATCTCAAAAATGTTCATTATAGATCCTTTAATATGTGACATGAAAATCAATTGCATTTTTTAATTCACAAAGCAGATCTTGCATAAGCTTCACAGTAACCTAGTAAGGGAGGTGAGGCAGGTTTCCTTCATATTTTCATCTTAGAGATGAGCAGTGGGAACGCAACGTGTGAGCGCGCCCCAGTTCACCAAGCAAGGAAGAGGCCACGCCAGACTCTGATGCTAAACTACGCCTCTTCCCGCTACAGAGCAGCAGCATTAAAATGCTAGTCAGGGACCCAGAGAACACATCTGGCCTCACCTCCACCTGGACTCAGCAGGAGCTTACAAATTCTTGTTTGGGGACATCCTGACCTCTGTACCCACTTTAGCAAAAACAGCCTGTCACAAGTATTAACGGAACATTTGAATCAGCAGAGGGAATAAAAGGACATGTGGATTTTTGCAATTTGCACTGCCAAAGAGCAATACTCGTCAACGCTGCATACATGTTTTTGGTTTTCTCAGGCGTTGATGGTAGCATGTCAATGAACTTGTTTTTTTTCCTGTTTTTAAACATAAACTCAACATGTGGATATTGCACAAGAAGAAAACACAAGCAGGCTACAGTCACGAGCTCACAGGTCTGGGGCTGCCTGCAGCCCTCTGACGAACATTTCTAGAAAAAAAAAATGCTTCCTTTTGAGGCAAATCCCATGCAGCCCTGGGCCAGCGGCTGGCCCAAGAGCCCTGTCCAGAAGCCCAGAGCGCCCTGGGCCTGGACATCCCCTGTGCAGGCCCCGTAAGGCAGTCACCTGTGCAGGTGGCCTTCTCCACGGGGCCAGGTACATGGACAACAGATCTGGGTCTGTGTCCTCTGAGCACAGGAAGAGAGGCTGCCCAGTGCGCCAGCCACCGGGGTGGCTCCGAGGGCCAAGCTGGCCACGCCTGCGGGAGAGGGGCGTGCTGTGCTGCTCTGATATAGCTCACTTTTCTTTATTATTTTTTTTATTTCAGCACATTACGGGGGTACAGATGTTTAGGTTACGTATGTTGCCCTTGCCCCCCTCCCCCACCAAGTCCAAGCTTCAAGTGTGTCCATCCCCTGGATGGTGCGCATCGCACTCTTCGTGTATGCATATACCCATCCCCTCCTCCCCCCTCCTCCCTGCCCGACACCCAATAAATGTTATTCTTATATGTGCACTTACATGTTGATCAGTTGATACCAATTTGATGGTGAGTACATGTGGTGCTTGTTTTTCCATTCTTGGGATACTTCACTTAGTAAAATGTGTTCCAGCTCTATCCAGGAGAATACAAGAGGTGCTATATCACCATTGTTTCTTATAGCTGAATAGTACTCCATGGTATACATATACCACATTTTATTAATCCACTCATGTATTGATGGACACTTGGGCTGTTTCCACATCTTTGCAATTGTGAATTGTGCTGCTATAAACATTCGGGTGCAGGTGTCTTTTTCATAGAGTGTCTTTTGTTCTTTTGGGTAGATGCCCAGTAATGGGTTTGCTGGATCAAATGGCAATTCTACTTGTATCTCTTTAAGGTATCTCCATATTCCTTTCCACAGAGGTTGCACTAGTTTGCAATCCCATCAGCAGTGTATGAGCGTTCCTGTCTCTCCGCGTCCACGCCAACATTTAGTGTTTTGGGACTTTTTGATAAAGGCCAGTCTCACTGGAGATAAGTGATATCTCATTGTGGTTTTGATTTGCATTTCCCTGATGATTAGAGATGTTGAGCACTTTTTCTTATCTTTTTGGCCATTATTCTGTCTTCTTTTGAAAAATTTCTGTTCATGTCCTTTGCCCACTTTTTGATAGGGTTGTTTGACTTTTTCTTGCTGATTTTCCTGAGATCTAAATAGATTCTAGTTATCAGCCCTTTATTGGATTTGTAGCATGCAAAAATTTTCTCCCATTCTGTAGGTTGTCTGTTTGCTCTTGTGACAGTTTCTTTGGCTGTGCAGAAGCTTTTTAAGATGGAATCCTCCCCAACACATTCTATGAAGCCAACATAACCCTGATACCAAAACCAGGAAAGGACGCAACAAAAAAGGAAAACTACAGACCAATATCCCTTATGAAAATGATGCAAAAATTCTCAACAAAATTCTAGCTAACTGAATCCAGGTGCTTATTAAGAAAATAATCCATCATGACCAAGCGGGCTTCACGCCAGAGATGCAGGGATGGTTCAACATACGCAAATCTATAAACGTAATTCACCACATAAACAGAAGCAAAAACAAAAACCATATGATTCTCTCAATAGACACAGAAAAAGCATTTGACAAAATTCGACACTCTTTTATGATAAGAACGCTTAACAAAATAGGCATAGATGGGGCTTACCTAAAAATGATACAAGCCATTTATGACAAACCCACAGCCAACATCATACTGAATGGGGAAAAATTGAAAGCATTCCCACTTACAACTGGAACCAGACAAGGTTGCCCACTATCTCCACTTCTACTCAACATAGTGCTGAAAGTCCTGGCCACAGCAATCAGGCAAGAGAGTGGAATTAAAGGCATACAAATAGGAACAGAAGAGATCAAACTCTCGCTACTTGCTGATGATATGCTATTATATCTAGAAAACTGAATGGATTCAACCAAGAGGCTCCTGGAATTGATAAATGAATTCAGTAAAGTCTCAGGATATAAAATCAATACACACAAATCAGAGGCTTTCATATACACCAATAGCAGTCATACGGAGAACCAAATCAAAGACTCAATTCCCTTCACAATAGCAACAAAGAAAATAAAGTACCTAGGAATATATTTAACTAAGGAGGTAAAAGACCTCTACAGGGAGAACTCTGAAACACTGAGGAAGGAAATAGCAGAGGACGTAAACAGGTGGAAAACCATACCCTGCTCGTGGGTCGGCAGAATCAACACTGTTAAAATGTCTATACTACCCAAAGTGATCTACAGATTCAATGTAGCTCACTTTTCTATGAGTGTTTGCTCGTTAACAGAGGTTTTGTTCTCTGGGCAGAGAAAGCATGATGCCAGAGTCCGAATACGGCCGTTTTAAGGAAAGAAAGCGATGGCTGCCCGGCTAGAAGGATGCCTAGCAGGGCCAAAGGCGCAGGACAGGACCCGGCTGCAGGGGCCGCTTGGAGCCTCTGCGCGCGCCGGCCGGGTGGGAGCGGTCGGGGCCGGGCTCATTAGGCATGCGATGGCCGTGGGCGCTGATTGGCTGTTGGGACGGTGAGGGGCGGGGCAGGGGCGGGGTCTCACGGAGAAGGAACTGGCAGGAAGGAGTGGAAGCAGGAGGAGGGGTGAGCACCTAGGGCCTCAGGGCGGCGGGTGCTGATTGGAGGTAGTGGCGGGGGCGGGGTGCTAGTGGGTGGGGCGGAGGGCGCTGATTGGCAAAGGTGGTGGTGGGTGGGGATGGGCGGAGCGACGGGCGCTGATTGGCGGCAGAGGCTGGGCCGGGTGGGGCTGCTCAGAGCTGGTACTGACAGGGAAGGGGGAGGGGAGGAGCTAGCGCCTGGGGCGGTGGGGCGGCGAGCGGTGATTGGCGACAGCGGCGGTGGGCGGGGCAGGGAGGCGCGTGCTGGTTGGTGGTAGTGGCGGAGGCGTGGCGGGGGCGTGGCGTGGTGGGGCTGCCGCTGCCGGTGCTCGCAGCCGGGAGGAGGAGGCGGAGGCGGAGTGAGCGCCTGGGGCCCCGGTGCCGTGGCCCGCGCGGCCTGCCCTTTGTGCCCGCAGCTCGCGACCCGCGCCCATGGCCGCCGCGCCGGGCTCGCCGGCCGCACGCGCCCGCCCGCGGTCCTGAGCCCGCGCCTGGGATGCTCCGGGGATGCGCGTGCCCCGGGCCTGCGGCTGCTCCGGGCTGGGCGCGGGGCGATGGACTTGAGCATGAAGAAGTTCGCCGTGCGCAGGTTCTTCTCCGTGTACCTGCGCAAGAAGTCGCGCTCCAAGAGCTCCAGCCTGAGCCGGCTCGAGGTAAATGCCCGCGCCCGGCCCGCACAGGAGGCCGGGCCGCTGCGCCCTGGGCGGGAGTCGGCGGAGGATGCCGCGGGTCCCCGCGCCCCGCCTTGGTGTCGCCTGGTTGTGATCCGGAGACCCAAGTCAGCGAGCTGAAGTTATCCGAGAGCTGCTCCGGTTTCCCTAGAATTGAACAAAAAAGGCTCCCCGCATTATTGTCGGGACTTGGTCTTGATTGGACGGTCCGTGGGAGCCGTCCTACCTGCCTACCCCGAGGAATTGCTGTCCCGTTTGCCAGTGCACGGGTGTGGGCGGGTACCCTGCGCCCACCTGGGTGCTGGGGCGGGAGGCAGTTCCGTCTGCACGGCTGGACTGCGCTCGGTGTGGGGCGCTCGGTGTGGGGCGCACGGAGTGGGGAGCTCGGTGTGGGGCGCTCGGCGTCGGCACCTCCAAAGTCCCGGGTAGCAGCGCCGCCCACGCGCCCTCCGCCGCAGGTATCCATCAGGATCACGTCGGCCGTGCCCAGGCGGGCAGGTACTGCCTTGTCAGGCGGGGCCTCAGTGTGTTTGAAGTCGGTGTAGAGCTGACAAAAGGGGAGGAAGAGGCAGCAGCACAGCCAGTGCTCTGGCCACTGTGACACGGTGCTCGGCGGCGAAGTGCCTGATGCAATATCCCCGCAGCTCCGCCTGGTACGGATTTGTCCTGAAAACCCAGGGGTCTCCGAAAATCCTGTCCTTTCAGCCTGTCCCTCGCCTTGGCATCTTAGGATTTCCAAAAATCATCTGTGGATGGTTGGTGTTTTTTTTATTTCACCGATCAAATCTTACTCTCTTAATCCCGGTGTCCAAATCACGTTGTTGAATCCGTAGATGACAAAACATGAAACATGTCTAAGTGAAAAAGAGCTGTTCTGATGGGAGGCTGCTGATGTGACCTAGAGATTTCGTCTGGCGCTGCCTTGCCTTTGCCCCAAAGCTGGCACCGCGGGGCTTTGGTTGGTTTGCTTCAACTGGAGCGGTCTCACATATTTCATCTTGGGTTTCTTTGTCCCAGCTGCTGTGACATTGGACACGCGAACGGGTTCTGTGACTATGAAGACATCTTTAAGCAAAGCTCAAGGGTAGACACAGAGCAGTGGAGAATTACTTCTTTAAAAAGTTTCAGTTGTGACATCACAAAATCAGAATTGGAAGTACTAGGTTGGCTTTCTGTGGCTGGCTGCCAGGCTGGATCCTGAGGGTGAAATGTATGTTTTAAACAAATAAAACTATTAATCCAGTAATGGAGGAGGGCTTGCTTTCAGCCTAACACGCAGAGAAATTAAGCATAAGTTCAGTGAGACAAATCGTTCTCCTGGGGCACCCACACTTTAAAAATCTGAAGTTGACAAGGTCAGAAACCCAGAACAGTATGTACCTTTATCCCAAATATGTTCTTATTGTCTATTTCATCGCCATGCGTGGTTTATTAGACAGCTCCTTGTCTCCTTTCATTTACTGTCCTTGCCAAGAAGAGGCACACCTGTGAGCAAACTCCAGGCGTTGTTCAGGAAGGGAAGCGCTAGATGCTGCTGACCCGTGGGAGTTCGGGAATGCTGCGTAGGACAGGCTCACGTCGGGGGTGAGGGTTCAGCAAAGAGAGTGGGCTGTGGAAGTGCCTCCAACAAAAACAGTGGGAAGCAGGTGGGGATCAAAATGAGGTTTCCTGGATGTGGAAACAAAATTTCTAGAAAACACACGTAAACCATCAGATATGCAGAAGGTCAAACAGACTAAAAAGAAATGTCATCTATCAGCAAGTAATCAATGGGCGCTCGCTGCGTGCCGGATCCCGCGCAGGGGTGCAGACAGCAAGGCTGATGAAGGTGGTCCACCCCAGCACAATGCTCTGCTCTTTGCAAATGCACTCACCAGCTTTCTGTCACTTGATGCTTGTGAAAATCTGGGGAGCATGTTTTACTATTTTTATCCTATTGTTAAAGGGGAAAAAAACCCCGAGAAATGGAGGGTCTTGTTAAAAGCTTACCAAGAATTCATTCTGTAAATGTTTATGGAGAACCTGCCCTGGGTTCTGGCTTCTTTGGGGCCCTGCACATCCAAAAGACACAACACGTGGAAGTCCTGGCCTCACAGTGCGTCTACCTAGTAGGGAATATATTAAGTGCTTTACTCTGTATTCCTCCCCAGCTACCGTCCCATATTTCCTGGAGAAGCGTGTTCGTTTGTATAGTCACAGCCCTTTATAGGCCAAGAGACTCTCATCAAAAAATGCAAAACTTAGCTGGGGAGGTCCGTCACTAGAATGAGATTGAGAGAGAGGACCTAAAGCACTGAGCTCAGGTGTGAATTTCCTCTGTTGGTACAAATGAAAAAGGTAACTCGTTTTATAAAAAGAAACCTTTTAAAACTGTTTCCATGAAATCTATATTTTATAATATACACAGAGACTTTGAAAAATTTTGTTATTTGAAATTGACTCCAGTGACATAAACAGGAAATTAACAGTAGTTACTTTGAGTTTAAAATTGTATCATCTTTATTAAAAGGCTTTCAGGGAGAGACTCAGTCCTAATGTTTTCACACTTGCTTTTAAAATTAATTTTACATCTAGAACCCAACATTTGGTAAACCCTAAGTGATGCAGAAGCCAGTTATTGAGTCATATATAGAAACAGTTTATGAGTTATAGCTTAAAATGAAATTCACTTATTTCGTCCTACAGCATGGAACCGAGTGAGATGGCCACGTAACTGACTCTGACAACTACAGTTTCAGGAGTTTCTAAAGGGAAACTGGATATCTTGCGTAGACTTCAGTGGGCATGCCCTAGAGAGGTGTCAGGCCTGTGAGACCCTCGCCCGGAGGAAAGCTGTGATTTTAGGGCATTGGTAACATTGCCTAAGTACCTGCTGCAAGGGGTGACCATCGCCCTCATTCAACAGCGCATTTTACACATGAGGAAAGGAGGCCAGGGAGGCAAAATGACGTTCCTGTGCTCAGCCCCTAAAGTGTTTTAAAGGAAGGTCTTACTGTGAGAGCAGGTGCTGCCTGTTACGGATTCTGCCAGTTCACATGCATGGCTGTGGGAGTTCACATGTATTAGATGAGGCATGATGCGAGGGGGCTATTGTTCTAATTTTTAAAAGGAAATTACTCTGGTACATTTTGGAATGTGCTCCATAACCTAAAATTATTCTAAAAAACTTTCCTGAAAGTTAGAGAATTCCAGGTGAATTTGATCAATTACACTTGTTTGAATTCTCACTTCCTTTCGCTAGCAAGGCAGTTAACCTGTTTAAACCTCCTTTTTTTCACTGTAAAACAGAAATGATAATAGTTTCTACCTCATAGGGTTAACAGGAGGATTACTGAGTTAACCATATGTAAAGGCCTAACTTGGAGCCTGGATGATAAAATCGCTCAATAATTGTTAGCGGTTGATATTTCCTGGGTATTGATGTTCTTCCTGTTCAATGTCTACCAGTTCTGGCTGCGCTTGAGATTGCCCTGTGGCCTGCAGGACTCATGGCTTGTGTTGTCTCAGTGGTAAACTCTCTGCCTGGTGGCAGATAGTTCCAGCGCCCTTCCTGAGCACCATGGGGAAGAGAAGGCCAGAGGTCAGTGCTCCCAGGATGTGTTCCAAGCTGTTTCATATGATAGGACTGGCCCTGTTGACTAAGATGAGCTACCGTCGTCTGGCTGGGACAGGGATATGCTCTTCCTCACCTTGCACATCTGTCCTGTGGGTCAGCGCACTTATCAGTGAATGCAGTACCCGCATGGGGCGCCTGCTCTGAGCTCAGATGGCTTTGAAAGCAGGGGAGGCTCCCTCATCAGCATGCCATCTTTGCAGAACTTCAAGTCTCCTGGGCCGGAAGGAATCCTCCTCCTGACCCATGCGGCCTTCCCGTTTGCCAGGAGAGCCTCAAAAGGTGGGATGTGCAAGCTCCAAAGCTTGCTTTCTGTCCCCTCTAGGAAGGAATATAGGTTTTACACTAATTAAAAGTGATACTATTTATTCAAGGTAAGATGTCAACCAGTTTGCTAAAAGGTATCAATATGCAAAGTCGGTTCATTTAGGGAGCAGTCATTTCGTCTGGGGTTGCCAAACCAGAGGGTTCTCTTTGATGACTATTATTTGGGCCATTTGAGATGTAACCAACATCTCTACCGAAGACACTGGCAGTGAATGAAGAGGACAAAATTCGAGCTCTTAACTGGGATATTGATAGTATGAGCTGTTGAGTGAAGGAAGAATTTCATTTCATTTGTTTATTTGCTCAATTGTTCACACACTCAGAACACTTTCAGCACATACCGTGTGTATTATGCTAAATAATTCGATATAAAAATAGGATCCCTGCCCTCTCTTAACATCTAGTCATAGAGGCAAATAAGTCAAAGGAAGCTTGCTTTTAGGGTGTAAGTCCTGTGAACATATTAATATTAGCAGCGTTGGATTTAAATGGCCTAATTAGATCAATTGTCAATTTATTTCTATTCCCAGTGGTCACAGATAGTTGGCAGTTATCTTTGTGCACATGTGGATATATTTTGCCCACCCCTTCTTGAGGAGCACGTGGTAGGCTAGTAAAGTAAGCGCTAAGGGACTCTTAGCAGATGTTGGGAGCAATGTTGGCTCGGCATGGATGAAGGGAAAGCTTCCTGGAGAGGTCACCATTCAGCTTATTCTTGGTGCTTGCTTGGAAGGTAAAGTGCTTCTAGATCTTGGGCAGTTTCCAGGAAATCCATTTCTAATTAAAATAATTTTCAGGTACTCTGAATAAATGCACCCGAAGAAATTAGAGAAGACCACAATAAATCTTAGTAAATATTCAATTTGCACATCATTTTGCCCATTTATACTTTATTCTGTTTGAAAGACACTAAACTTAGTTCCTTGTTTGTGGTTTCTGTTTCCGTGACATGCCTTATTTTTGCAGTTTCATTACATGCTTTCTCTGTTTACATCCAAAAAAACTCTCCAAAGTATTCTTGCTTATTCAAAACTATCTGAGA